ATCCAACCAGGCCAAGAGAGTGAGAGGAGCATCATCCAAACAGTCCAAGAGAGTGGGAGGAGCATCATCCAACCAGGAAACTATGGAGATGGCTGCAACATCCAACCAGGGAACTATGGAGATGGCTGCAACATCCAACCAGGGAACTATGGAAATGGCTGCAACATCCAACCAGGCCAAGAGAGTGAGAGGAGCATCATCCAAACATTCCAAGAGAGTGAGAGGAGTATCATCCAACCAGGCCAAGAGAGTGAGAGGAGGATCATCCAACCAGGAAACTATGGAGATGGCTGCAACATCCAATCAGGGAACTATGGAGTTGGCTGCAACATCCATCCAGGCCAAGCCAGTAAGAGGAGTACCATGCAAGCAGGTGAAATCCCTGAAAGATGGTGAGATCTTGGCACCCAAGACTGACTATGCTCAGCTACTGAGTACCAGAGGCTCAGACAACAGTCGCCAGGAATCACAGAAGAATTTTGGGCCAAAGCAACCAGAAGAGGTTGATATCTCTGCAGTGAAGTCCCTGGAGCATTCTGATCTTTTGGAGATCTACCAAACGTGCCTGGGGCTGGTCCAGCCTCCTTGGGCATCCAAAGACTTTGACATAGACACATTAGTGAAAATATATTCATTGCCTGGGGATGATGACCCCAAAAGCTTTGATAAGTATCTCTACCCAGGATTACCTGACTGAGGCAGAGGGGCTGGTATGACCTACAAACCCATCCATAGCTTTGAAGAAAGACCTGATATATATGTATACATATATACATTTTAAACTTTATTAAGACATTAATGGTCGTATAGAGTACTAACTAATTCTAGAAAAAAAAAGGCTTCAATTATCTGCCTATACATGTCTTTGTGTTTGAGTCTTTTATCAGTTTTCTGCAGGAAATCAATACCAGGCCTAGCATCAACTGAAGTCTCCAGGAAGAAGATGGGGCTCCACAACAATAACAATTCCACTAGGACAGTAATAATACCACTAAACCGACAAACATCGTCTACAGATCAGCTTTGGACTACAAAGTGCTCAGAGCAATTTTGAGAGGGCTAGCTGAAAGGATCCAGTTTCAAAGACTACTTGAATAAAAACTTGAGATAAACTCTGAACTTTGGCATTATGCTCAAACTGGACAACGAAGGATATAGCAGCTACCTTTCCTTGAATTTGACAATTAACCCAAAATTTTTCTTTTCAGAATAAAGATTCCTTTGCCCATACCCAGTAGGAAGTAATTTTAAGAAAATGACGCCCACATTCCCAAGAGGTGGGATGGGAGGTTTTTGGTCATTTAATGAGTTTTGGATATTGTCATTATTTACAATGATTGATTACAAGTTGTTAATTGTTATTGGTCAGGAAAAAAGCTGAACAAGGAGATTAGATTCAGAGGTTTTGTTTAAAAAAAAAGGAAAAAGGAGAATATAGATATGAGGTAGATCACTAAATCTACCCTGAGAAAAAAAGATAAAGAAATAATAAGATGAATGAGTAGATAATTGAATCTATTCTAAAAAGAAAAAGGGGAAGATATAAAAATGACAAAAGGTAGATTACTGAATCTATTATGAAAAGAAAAAAAGAATATGGATATGATAAGATAGAAAGGAAGATTATGGAATCTACTTTTAAAAAGGAATTACTTGTTTTAAATAGGATAAGTAATGAAAATTTTTTTGTCTGAGTTTATCAGATGTTACTGGACTGGACATTGTTAATATATTAATGGAGTTTTTGTCTGAAACTGTCAAATGTTAATGGACTAGACATCTTTAATGTAATCTTGACTGTGTATATTG